TTGTCATGAAACAATTAGCATGGTGCCTGGCACTCCAGTGTCAACAAATATGAATTATTAGCATAATAGATGGGTGAATAGATGCATTAATGATGATTGAATTATAATGGTTGAACATATGCATGAGGGAATAGAAATGAAGATATAAAAAGATAAATGAAAGATGGAAGAAGGAAGAATAAACTGATAAAGAGACAAATATAGGTGAACATATGGACACATAGATGGATAATAGAGAAGGCATAAAAAATTGTACCCACAGTTAAGTTTGTTACATCATATGCTCTAGGGCTGGAAAAGGAAACAGAATAGCATTCCACAATTAGTCTCTTAGGAGAGGTCTCCCCCTTTGGTCTCTGTCTCTGGGGCCTCTCATCAGATGGGGAAAGCACTTGCTCCTCTCCCTCATTTCTAGTTTCCTTGTCTCTGTGAGCTGACCAGCTCTTTTCCTCAGAAATTCTCTCAATTCCCAGGACAGGGAAGGCGTGGTAGAAGTGGATATTCTAGGCCAGGTTTCACTCATGCTATTCCTCTGACTCAGCTTGGCACATAGGAAAATGGGTCAACTGGGGAAAGGGTCAGTGTTGGCTGGGCCAGGAGAGTGAAGCCCTAGAGTCCTTAGATGTGAGATACAGGAATTAGACCTGCTTCCAAAAATCTTTCGCATTAGCAAAGCTTGTCCAAGGGAAGACCAGGTCTCAGATGACAGATGCATACACACTGTGATGGGCCCCGGGGAGACTTGGTGAACCCAGGAAGGGACCTTCTCCAGCTTTCCCTGCCATTTGTCATTGTTCTGGGGAATATGAAGAACCAGGTGAGTCCCACTTTTCCCACTCCTCCCACCCCCAGGTATACAACCACAAAGAGCTGCGGGGAGGAGGAGAAGCCTGGGAAAGAAGGAGGCACTCCTTACTCTGACCTCTAATCTGGAACCAAGCCTTGACTCCTAGTCTTGAGACTCATTGTTCAAATGCCTCCAAGGAAATTACACTGTAAACCTTCCCCTAAAGGGTGACAGTGAAACACCCTGCGCACACCTTGCCTTGTCCAATCTGATGATTGCTAAGATTCTCAGACCTAAAGATAAAGAATGGAAAATGGGGACCGGGAGGCTACTGAGGAGTTATGAAAGGGAAAAAGGTTCTTCCAGATAGAGACAGTGGATAAAATATGTAGCATAAAGGTATCCTACCAACTCATATATTCCAATTCAATTCAGACACTAACCACTCAGAGGTAATGTCAGATTCCACAAGTTTTAGGGCACAGTCCCCAACATCTGTGCCCCCACTTGTAGGGTCCTCAGGCCAATTGCATTTCTGACCAACTGGCTACAAGCCCAGGGAGTTCCCATAACCCCTCAGGTTCAACAATTCCTTAGAATGACTCATAACAGTCAGGCATGCTATACTTACAATTAGTTTTTATAAAAGATATGAATCAGGAACAGACAAATGAAAAGACACACAGGGCAGTCTGAGAGGGTCTCAAATGCAGAACTTCATGCTCTAATCCCACTAAGACACATAAGGCACATCACCCTCCTGGCATATTAGTGTGTTCACCAACCAGGAAGTTCTATGAGCTTTGCTGTCCAGAGTTTTGTGGTTTTTTAAGTGTTTATTCATTTATTTTGAGAGAGAGAGCTCATGTAGGTAAGAGCAGGGGAGGGACAGAGAGAGAGGAGAGAAAGAATCCCAAGCAGGCTCTGCTCCATCCACACAGAGCCCAACACAGGGCTTGAACTCACAAACCGCAAGATCATGACCTGAGCCAAAATCAAGAGTCAGGTGCCCAACCGAGTCACCCAGGGACCCCTGGTGTCCAGAATTTTTACTGAGATTTCATTATGTAAGCGTGACTGCATTGTTGGCTGAACTCAATCTCCAGCGCACCTCCCCTTCCCAGAGGTTGTGCAGGCTCAAAGCTCCAGCTCTCCAGTGACATGGTTAGTCTTCCTGGTGACCAGCCCCCAGATGATCCTAAGTCATCTCATCTCTTAGCAAAAACTCAGGTGTGACAATCAGCAGGATAAATAACAAAGACACTCCTATTACCCGGGAAATTCAAAGATTTAAAGTCTAACTTTCAGAAATCAGGAACAAAGAGCAGTCAAAATTCTTTATTACACAACAGAAAGGAAAAAATTTCTGGATGTAAAAAAAGAAAGCCTCAGGAGGCCATAAACCAGAGATAACTATAGTCTCACACAGGCTCACGCACACATCACGGGACCACCGTGGATTCCCTTACCTTCACTCTCACTCTTCCACTCACTCTCTTCCACCCAGTCTCACAGTCTCACACAGGCTCCACACAAAGCAGAAGGATTCCTGCAAGCCACACATTTGCTGCTCCCAAAAATTCTACCCATTTGTCCATCTCTATCCATCTTCCATGGCCCCCCGCACAGCACCTCTCCTCTTCTCAGCATACTGATTTCTTGGTCTCCCCTGGAAAGTAAGTAAGCAAATGGTAAGATGAGGGGCAGAGGAGGGATCAGGGAATCTGTGAAAGAGACTGTGAGTTCAGGTCAACACCCAGGTCCAAGTGTGTCTGTGAACCTGACAGTGTACATGTGCCAAATGGGTGTGTCCTTGTGATTATGTGTCCTTGTGTACTGTGGGTTTACCTGTGCATTGTGTATATTCCTGTGCAATCTATACATGGGCGTGTGTAGTGTGAGTGTTCCTGTGTCCCATGTGTGCACCTGTGTGATATAGATGTGCCTGTGTCCCCAGTATTCCTACATGGGTCAGTACTCTGGCTGCCCTTCTCTCTAGAGGCTCTATCTCCTTTAGCCTAGGTTTCCAGAGGAAGAAAAGGACAGTGCACATGGATGGGAAAGAGAGGAACATTAAAGCTATGACCCGACACAGGCATCCTGAATTCTAGTCAGGACTATGGTCTTCCCACCTTAAAGCCCCTCAAGCCCTAACCCCTACACCCACCCACCCACCCAGCTCTGAATGATGCCAACAACTCTGAGGACTCTCTTGGTGAACCAACACCAATTCCCAGGAACATTTTTGATGACTTTTTGCTGCTACCTCCTCAACAATGGCTACAAGGTGCTGTTGTCTTGTGGGTGGGGGGTGAAGAGTAACCAGTCTCTACTTCTCCCAATCACTTGCTCCATCACCTGGGCCTCCACTCACCATCTTACTCCCCTTCTCCTTGCCAAGCTCCTCCCCACAAGGAAGCCCCTGAAACAGGTTCCCAGATATGGTCCTCAGTTTCTGCCCCTCACACCAGGGCCTGCCAGGAAGCTGGGTTTCAGGGCTGTTCCATTCCTTCTGATTCCAGGTTCACTGTGCTGAGAGGTCACCAGCTCTGTACACCCCAGAACAGCCCTCGATGGACCACATCATCTGGAAATCGCAGAACTCTGCAAAGGCAAGCCCAGCTCTCCCTTAGCCCTGCCTTCTCCCTCAGAGCCCCTGCCCAAGACACCCGTGACCCTGCCTCTCTTTCCCCTAGAACAAGTACCACAGTCATTAACCCATGACAGTCTCAGAGGGAGCCCCGTGAATCATCGAGGCTCTGAGGAACAAAGGACCAGAAGAGAGGACCAGCCTTCTGGCAACTCTGCACCAGACCTGACCCTGCTGGGACAGGGCCTGCAGTGTGAATATGAGTCTAAGTGTAAGCAGGGATGAGTGTGGCAGGAGCACAGCTTCTCCTCCACACCCAGACTGTAATGTTTCCAATAAAGCCCAACTAGTACCCATGGATCTGTCTGCCATCTTGTGGCCCAAGCATAGGAAAAGAGGTATGAGACAGGGAGAAAGAAGGTGGGATGAGGGGAGAGAGTAGTTGTCTCCATTCTCCACACTTCAGCCTGAGGGAACTTTCACTTCACTTATTTCTGGTCACTCTCTGCCTTACAGTCCAGCTAGAAGGCTCCCTTCCTCCATCCCCAGACCAACTGGGGCAGCTATGTCCAACGTTTCATAATGGGTTAATTGCTCTTTCTGGACTCTACTGCAGCACCCTCTGTTGCCTCCATCCAGTGTGCTGTGTACTGTAATAATCTGTATTCTCTACTGCTGTATACCCATTCATAGCATGATAAATTTGCTGAATTGAATGACAGTAGGAACAAAAATCACAGGAAGATAGCTTTCAGCTCAGAGAGGAAGGGTTGTAACCTTCTGACCATTAACGAGGCCACTCACACAAGTACTCCCGCAGCCTGCTCCATCTAGGCTGGGCCCTCTCTGGAGACCTATTCCTCCTCAGACCCGGGTCATACAAGTGGAATAAGGCAGACAAGAAAGACAAGTGGCAGGGCAGAAGCCAAAGAAAGAGGAGAGAGGATTGGGAAAACAATACTGGATTGCGTCCCAAAGCTCTTTTCTTGCTCCCTGGTTTCCAGGGAGAGAGCTACAAAATCTGACTCTATCCCTGTAAAAGAATGTCCTGTGCTCCACATCCTAGTAATAAGGCCCGATTCTGCCCCCTTAGGATAGATAGACCCTGGCTCCACCTCCAGTGTGTCACTTTGACTCCGCCTCCGTTGAAGGAATGCCCTGACTTCGCTCCTTCCGGGTAATAGGCAAGCCCCACCCCTGGTGCGCGACGGAGTCCCTATGACGTAACGGTAACGGTCTGTTTCCGGGGTGGAGCCAAGGAGGGCGGGAGTTTAGGCTGCGCCGACCCCTCAGCCCCCCTCCAGGTGATCTCCACCCCCGAAATCCTCACCCAGGGCCCCGAATATCCCAGGTCCATGACCGCAAAGCCTTTCTCCCTGATCCCCTAAATGTCCCAGATCCCCGAGGTGACCGACCTCCTAATTCCTTAACGTCTGGTGCCTCCCAATTTTTCAATCCCCCACCCTATCCCGATGTGGCAATTGAGGCTTCCGGGGGGCACCTGCCTCAGATTACCTGAGAACAGGTCAGACGGGTCCTGAGAATGACAGAGAGGGGGACATGGGGTTGGAGAATCCTTGACCCAATCATGCTGCTCCCCAGGAGACGTTCGGAGCCCAGGACATGTCGGGATTGAGGAGATACGAGGTGGCGCTGGAGGCGGAGGAGGAGTGAGTGGAGGCGGGTTCTGCGGAGGAGGAACCTAGCCGCTCCGGGGTGGGGGAGGGCGCGAGTTCTCTGCGGGCGGGAGGCATGGGGCCCCTCAAGGGGCGTGGGCTGCGAAGGGAACCGCCTCTAAAGGGCGGGGCGGAGCCTTCCTAGAGAGGGGCGAGGCGTCTAAACCGCAGAGTCTGTGGGGTCAGCCCCGCCCCCCCGGCCGGCTCTGCCTTCTCTCCGCAGGATCTACTGGGGTTGCTTCTACTTTTTCCCCTGGCTGCGCATGTGGCGGAGGGACAGGAGGTGAGGGGGCTGCGACGCCGCGGACCCGCCCGGGGCATACGAGGCTCAGCCTCGGGGGACGGATGGGGGTAATCTGGGAGTCCCCTCCTTGCCTTATGCCAGTGTCGGGTTGCCCTGCAGCTCGGCGCATCCGCGGGAGCAGAAGTTGGAGCCTCTGCGAGGCCTGATGAGCTGTCTGTCAAGCGGACTGGGCCCTGCCCCCCAGCGCTCGGGTCGCGGCCTCCCTCGCCGCACCCCCGCCGCCACTGCCCAGCCAGCCGGTGCATTAAAGATTTAAACCGAAGTCACCGTGCAGCCCTCCTGACTCTGCCGCCGCTGCCGCCATTCGGTCTGGGAGCCCCTCTACACGCCTGCTTCTCGTTACTGACAGGGCCTCCCTCCGATTGGGTGCCCTTCCATATCCAGGGCCCCGTTATTCCTAAGGATCCCTCATCAGTATCAGGCCTCCCATTACTGTCTTTAACTGCCCTCCGCCACCTAACCTCCCCACCCCCCACCCGCCACCCCTCCCTGTAAGTAGCCTATATGCAGAGAACTAAATAGTCCTGTCCTGGTCTTTTCTCCCACCCGTATCCCCACATAGATGTGTTCCACTTCCCTCCTAGAAAGGACTTTGCCAGGTGTCTGAAGCATCTTCTTTGTCTGAGAGTGAATCTAAAATATTTTAAGCACAGGGTTGTAGGAAGTAGGCAGGGAGGGGAGGGGAAGATTCTCAGAGGCTGACTCCCTCAACCTGCCACAGGGGAATTACTTGGGACTGTTGGAGATCTTTCTTACAGTTAATAACCCAACTTTTGGCTCCTCCAGTCTTTCCCCGGGTTTAAAGATACTTGGCATCAGCTTACCTAACAGTTCTTGCTGTGTCCCTAGAACTCAAAGGCCACTGCTCCCTGCCACCCCTTTCTATCTTGTCATCTAGTTAACCTGAGACCCTCTAGGTCCTAAAGTGCTGAGGGTGAGGGCCTCCTGGTGGGCCTGCTTCTGTTAGGGATTGGTTCCAGCATCAGAAAAGGTACCAGAAGATTAAGTTAAAGAGACAGCCTAGTGTATGGATGAGGGCAAAGCTAACTTTTAGCCTGGAGCTGCCCCTGCCACAGCAGCTTGTGGCTGGGGAAACCACTTGGCCCTATCTTTGGAGAAGCCAAAGGGGAGAAATGGGTACATACCCAAAAGAACTCATTTCTTGCCTTCCCAGGTGTCTGGACCGATTGGTCCAGAAAAGACCACAAAGTATATGGCAGACAGCCAGCTGATGGAGATCTGTAATAAAACAATGGCACCTCAAGAGCTGCACCTGAGCTCTGGGGTACATGTCCGGACTGGAGGGTGGGAGAGAGACCCTAAGGCCTCTGGTACTATCAGTTCAAGATGAATGACCTCTGGGTTGTGGCCACCTTCAAGAACAGACCCAGACTCTTGAGCCATTTCCTCACAATGTCTACATCAAGAACCCTGTCAAAAGTGGAGTACCCTGTCAAGCCCAGGGCCTACACCTCACCAGGACACTATCAGAATTCCTGAGTATTCACAAGACAAACTCCAGGGAAAGACCTTCAAGCCTCACCCTGGACAGAAGAGAGGAGAAACTTGAATTGTTCAGCATGGGAGGGGGACTAGTTCCTACTCTTGGAACTGATGGTCCCTCCTGATTGTTTCAGCAACCCTGCAGCAGAAAGATGCCCAGGATAGGTTTGGGTCCCTATCCCAAGAGAAGGCCTGCCCCATAGAGGATAGCTGGCCACAGAGCAGAAGGCTGCACAAGGCACCCCTGCAACAACCAGATAAAGTCTGGATTACTGGGTTATGACTCAGTTTATGTTTCGAATACAGAGCAAGACTTGAGGGTTGAAATCCCCAGACCAGGAGTGGGAAATTCTTCAAGGTGCCAGGGGCACTAAACTTAGCAACTTGCCCCCACCATAGGCAGTTCCCAGCTTCCTTGAAAGCACAAGAAGAGGAGGAGAACTTTTGTTTTAGAGGGTGAGGGGAAAAAGGGAATTAGGGCTGGTTATAGGATAGGAGAGAAGAGACAGGGAGGAGATGAGAGGTTGGGGCTTTAGCAAGAGGATGGGATGCAGAGAGTAAGGGTTGGGGCCTGGGTTGGGGCAGGGGTGGTATTACAGGACCTGGCTGGGGAGCAGGGCCTGGCTGGAATTTGAATAGAACAAAAGAAAGCTCATTGAGCTCTTGAGTCTGATGTCTGCATAAACCAGAGACTGATTCTGGAAACCCCAGGCACCCCTCCTGGCAAGAGGCTGGCATTTCTGGGATAGGACTAGGCAAAAACAGGAAGGTAAGATTTCTTGGGTCTTTTCCCTGTTTGACATCAGCAACCTGGCACCAAAGAACTTTACCTTCTTTCATCTTTCCACTCCATCCTTCCTCCCTGTCTCATCTCCCTGGGAAAAGCAGCCCCTACTTCATCATCCCCAAGGTATCCCAGTACCAAAAAGGGCCTTGTCCCGGCTTCTCACTCTGGATGTAACTGTTCCAGCCAAGACTCATCCTCAGCCAGAAGGACTTGCTTTAGGGACCCATTCTCATCAATTTCTCCTGATAAGACAGGCAGGCTAGGACAGGAAGTATATAGAGGGGAAGATGAAGGCAAGTTGGTGCTGGCCTGCCCTCTGCTCCCACCCCACCCAAAATTCCCCTATCAGAATTTGTGTGTGTTCATATGATTGTGTGACTGGATGATTGTGAAGACACAACTGTGTGGGAGTGGGACTTTGAGGCCAACTGGGGCTATATGATTCTGTCCTTGGTTGTCTGACCATGTGAGGTTGACTGAGTGATTGAGGTGTGACTATGAATGTGACTATGGGTATATGAGTATGAATGTCCATCATTGGATACCACCGTGGATCCTTAGCTGCCCTTACTTGGCCACTGTGTCATCAGCCTTCACATCATGCAGTACCCCTCTCTCCAGCTTCTCTGTCCAGGGCTTAGAAGCCATGGGAAATGGCAGCCCTAGAAGAGGAAGGGGTCTGTGGCAATTAGGGCTCAGGAATGTCACAGGATGAGCAATACATCTTCACCTGCCTCTGACTCACCTGGTGCCCCAGGTAAAAGGCACCCAGATAAAAGGTAGGGGAGGAGGAGAAGAGAGAAGTATCCAAGCTGAGCAGCATGAAGGGGCCCTCACCCACAAGCAGCCTCCTTCTGCTACTGCTGCTGCTGACCCCAGACCCTGGAGCAGGTGAGTGCTTGGGGGTCTAGAAGGCCAGGGATTTGGGTAAATGGGGTGGAGGGAAAGGGACCCAGGAAGTCCATCCTCCAGCTGTCTGATAGAAGGGTTTGGGGTCAGGAGTCCTCTGAACACATGGCCCCATTGTCCCCTAGCACTGCTACTGTCACCCAGCATTACCTGCTGTACTCAGCTCTACCGCCAGCCACTCTCGAACAAGCTACTAAGGAAAGTCATCCGGGTGGAACTGCAGGAAGCTGATGGGGACTGTCACCTCCAGGCCTTCGTGTGAGCTCTGACCCTGCCCCTCATATTGACCCCTGACTCTGACCTCAGTCCCAACCTGATGCTGACCCCAACCCCAGCCCCAGCCCCAGTTGCTAATTCTGATGCTGACTCAGGTTTTCATTTAGCCTTTGCCCTAACCCCTGGACCCTAATGTCATCTCCAAGCTATGACTATGGCTTTGCACCTTTCCTTTCCCAGGCTTCACTTGTCTCGACGCAGTGTCTGCATCCATCCTCAGAACCGCAGCCTGGCTCGGTGGTTTGAGCGCCAAGGGAGGAGATTCCAGGGTATTCTGCCTAACCTGAATTTGGAGCTGATAGGGAAAATGGACCAGGGGCCCTAATAGCCAAAATAATAAAGCATCATTGGATAATAGTCTCTGACTGTGGTCTCCAAGTTCTATGCGTTCTCCTGTGAGCCCTGAATCTGAAGCTGGGTGACATGTCAATAAACAGAAGAACCTCTTCATTCTCTTTATTCACATCTTCACAAACCCCTCCAGGGGCAAGGTCAAGAGCCAAGGACCCACACATACTCCCCAGGCACCTACATGCATAAATTTAGAGAACACACATTCCCTACCTCACATACACATGGGCACACATGGACACAAACGTACTCATCTACACACATTACTCTGGTAGACCTCCAACTCTGAGATGAAATCAGACGTCTGGACACTTCCAGCTGGCAGGTTGGGAACACAGAGTCTCATAGAAATGGGCTCCAAACAGAACTTCCAGCTGAGGCCACTCCCCGCCCCCCTGCCTCCATGGGGATCTATCCTGCCTGGGTTTTATCTGTCTGTCCATCCACACCAGCAAGACAGAGTTATAGGTGGAATCAGCTGAAGCCCTCCTGGGTCATCTACAGGTTTGGGGCTCCTAGAAGAAGCAGGAGGCAAATCAAGGGAGATAATAGGACTGGATCTTGGCCCAGACACCCTGAGAATGAAGGAAGGGACCCAGCTCTGAGCCCAACACTTCAAGAATGAATAGGGGTGCCCAGCTCTGATTGAACCCCAATACCCTAAAGATGAGGGAGTATAACTAGTTCTAGGCCCAGGTACATTAAGAATAAGGGAGAGGACCCAGCTCTGATCCAAGATACCCCAAGAATCAGGATAGATGTCCAACTCTGAGCTTAACACCCTGAAAATAAGGGGCCCATCTAGGATCCCAAATACTGTGTAAGAGAAGGAAGAGACTGCATTCTGAGCCCAAGGACTCAAGAATGAAAGTTCCATTCCTGAGCTCAGACAGAAGAATGAGGTGACCCAACTCTGATTTCCAACACTCTTACAATGACTAGAGCATCTGGCTCTTAATCCAGACACTCAAAATGAGGGCACACATCTCCAGGTCCAAACCTCCTAGAGGTCCTACTCACCTGGAAGTTTGTCCACTGGAATCACTGGAGCCAAGAACCCAGGCTTTTGGGGTCCATCCTTACCATCTGGTCTCAGTCTCAGCCTAGAGCATAAAAAGGCAGCTGTCTCCCTGACAATGGTGGGGCATCTGTCTCCTCCAAAACAGTGTATTAGTAAAGGGTCAGGAGAAAAATCAGTGAAAATAATGAAGTTGGGGGTTGGAGGGAGTAGGGGAATCATTCCAGAATCATAAATTTTTCAGTGGGAAATCATGAAGGGTGGGAATGGGTTTGGTCTGTGGGTATTAGAGCATCTGTGTGGGATCAGAATTTGAGAGCCAATGGCAGTTACTTACCAGAGCCCCAGTGCCAGGGCCCCAGCCGCCAGTCCGAGGAAAGAGAATATTCCCAAAGATGCCAGCACCGCTACCTGCTCCAGGGGGTCCCTGTGGTCTGGGGGAGGGGAGGGTCACATGCCACTGTGAGAGTGAGGCTGCCTAACCAAATCCTTTCTCTCTGGGGCTTTCCTGTCCTCTACAACCTTGGTTCACCTGCCCAAGCTCACCAAGTGGCCGTGGATCTGGCAAGAGGGAGGGCCTGGGGGAAGCAGGGCAGTCTGCCTGAGGCTCCTCCTCCAGCTGCTTGTGTGGCTGGCCCCCAGCTGGTATCTCCTTTGGCAGGGGCCCTGAAGGGAGGGGAGACCTGAGAAGAATTGCCCACACAAGGAAGAGCGGGGGAGGGTACCCAGGAGGTGGAAGCTGAAAGGAGAGAGCCAGCTTCTGGGAACCTAACAGAGGTGGAAGCTGAGGGGCAGAGCTTAAGCGAGGGCGGGGCCGCAGGCAACCCAAGCTGAAGCGAAGAAGACCATAGACGGGAAAACCCGTCCAGCTGACAGAGACTGTGGGGCCAGCTCTCCGCCCATGCCCTGGGCTCAGGGGCTCAGTCTCTCACCAATGCTTGGAGTCCCCCAGGCCTCGGGGCTCCAGGCACTCCAGGTGCCAGCATCCAGAAAGTCCCGGGCACTGACTCGTACAGCATGGGGCAGCCCAGCCACAGCATCCGTGATCACTTCCTCCAATCCAGCTGGCTCCACCTGGGAATGAAGATGGTTCCTTGGCCCATTATCCAGGTTGTAAGTGCCAAGACTACCTGCCTTCCAGACTCAGTTTGCAAACAGCACCCCTTCCTCCCAGTCCTGTCCCTGTCAGACTGCTGGAGCCATCTGGCCTCATGTGGGGTGGCTGGTGGTGTCAGGTCTACACCTAGTGTTTGAAAGACAAAAGTACATAGTGGCTATGTAGACAGGCTGTGTCATCAGACTGCCAGGTTTCAAATCTTTGCTATATCACTTGGGCTGCTCTGTGCCTCGGTTTCTTCATTTGTAAAGTAGAGGTGAATATACCTGAACAAGATAATGCATGTAAAATGTGTAGTATGGTGCCTGGCGAGCAGACAGTGCTCCATAAATATTGGTTATTATCTGAGGCAGCTGCTCCCCTGACTTGATGTTAGCCAATCTTTAACATCTCCAGAGGTAGGAATTCACTATTATCTTCATCTGGGTGTATGAATGTTTGTATGAGGTTGTGCCTCTGGGTGGAAGGCACTCCTTTTCCTAGAAAAGTTATTTGTAAAAAGCCACTCCTGTCTTCCCACGGATGGGTTTATGTTAGAGTTACAGCCCCCCAGGGCAGAGGCTAGGCCTGTCAGGCCCTGCTCCAACCCAAGCACCCAGCACAAAGGCTGGCCCATGGACAGCACTATATGGGGGGAGGTTACAGGACTTCAGTGACCTGCTAGTGTGCCAGAAAGTAATGAAGAATAACCAGGAACATGAAACCAGAGGCAGAACCTATAGCCCCAGATTGGGACATACTCCAGGTCTCACCGTGGACCAGGCTGGATGCTGCGCTGGACGGTACTGCAGTCGGAACTTGAGCAGAAAGTGGGGCTGGCGGGGCCAGGAGGCTGGGTATGTCCAGCTGGCATGCAGGCGGCGGGGGTAGCCAGGTACCGACTCTACTCGAAGCCCCTGAGGTGGGTCAGGGCGCACTGAGGGGAGTGGAGACACAAAGTCAGGACAGGCAGCAGGTACCCGTCCCTTCTCCCCACTACCTCCGAAGGGAAGGTGGGTGCATGCCTAAAGGTACCTGAGGGAGGCACTTTCAAGGGGTATGGGGAAATCTTAAGTTTGACCATCCATTGGGCTCAGGACTTGTCTGTCATCCCTATTATAAAATGAGCTGAGATCTAGGGACAGGTTTTTGAAGTGTTTGTTTAGTGAATTAAAGAGTGATTTTGCTTTCTATTCAAGGAAGAAAATTAATTAGCCTAAATTTCAGCTAGAGCTTTAGTTCCCCCCTCCCACACACAGATCAATAGGAAAGAGAGACCAGCAAGGGCTTACACCAGGCAGGGAGGACATGAGACATGGTGGCCTTCAACACAGGGCTAGAAGCAAAGAGGCAACTCTGGGGCTAGGAAGCCAGGAGGGATAGTGGCAGCAGCCTCTAGAGACTGAAGTAACTCTGCCTGCTGGGCTCTGATCTCTTTGGCTTTTTAGTCTCCATGGGGGCTATCTGTATGTTAAAATGGGGTCTGGGGCAAGGTTCTGGCATGCAGTCGGTTGCTGTCCGACTTCAGCCAGGTCACGATCTCAGTGGTCGTGCAGTTTGGAGCAGCGTCAGGCTCTGGCTGAGGCCTCAGAGCCTGGGCCTGTCATTCTGTGTCTCCCTCTTTCTCTGCCCCTCCCCCATTCATGCTCTGTCTCTCTCTGTCCCAAAAAATAAATAAACGTTGAAAAAAAATTAAAAAAAATAAAATAAAAAAAAAATAAAATGGGGTCTATGTCAGGAAGGAAGTATTTGGGTACTCGACATGGGAGAGTTCTGTGTTGACTATCTTGCCTCTGTCCATTTCAGGTCTCTGAGGTAAGGATCTATGTAGCAGTAGGAATATCTACAGATGCTCTGCAAGCTCACATCCAGAGGCGCAGTGTCCCATGACTATGGGGTTCACCTCAGTCAGCAGTGTTCGCATGTGCTCCAGCAAGAATTTCACGCCCATGGACTACAAAGGAAGCCCTGGGGATCCTTACGCGGCAAGCCGGCTCATGGAGTGGACTCATCCTGAGAGGATGTGATCTTGAGCTTGGAAAGGCTCACTGCGGGACCTAGCTGGAGCCCCCAGCCTCTCTGTTATGTCCTACCTCTGGCCATCAGCTCCTGGTACTGTCTTCTTCCTGGCAGGGAAGGGTGCCATCTGAGTTCAGGAAGGAAAAGAGGACCCTCCCTCTCTCTAAGGCCTTCCTCAAGATCTCCCTCACTGCCCCCCATACCCACATTGTGCCTGCATGCCCAAATGTTGAGCAGGCCAACAGGGCCATAGCTCGCATTTAAACTCACTCTGATTTCAGCCACAGAGTCATGATCTCACAGTCATGAGATCAAGACCCATGTCTGGCTCCACACTGACAGTGAGATTCTCTCTCTCTCTCTCTCCCCCTCCGCTCCTTTCCCACTTGTGTGCATGCTCTCTCTCTCTCTCTCTCTCTCTCTCTCTCTCTCAAAATAAACATTAAAAAAAATGTATAGACACACACACCCAATCATGCACACACCTGTAGGAGGTGAGGTAGCGGGTGGGTAAACCGCTGACCTGACTGGGGCTCCAAGTGCAGGAGAAGTTCTCATAGTCAGCTGCTTGGCAGGAGACAACAGGGCGGGCTGGGGGGTCTAGAGGCAGAGGGTACAACCAGAATCTGAGAAGTCCCCAGGTCCTCCCCATCCCAAAGGGCTTACTCAGGCCCTGGACTCCCTCCAAGAGCCCCTTATCTCATCACTGCCACCCAATACTCTCTCCCCAACTCACAGCCCAGCTGTAGGGTCACAATGCCCTTAAGTGCACCATCCAGGGTCCGGCAGATGTAGGTGCCTTCATCAGTGCTGTCTGCCCGGGCCAAGACCAGTTCATGCCCTAGCCCAGAGTCAGGTCCTTGGAGCAGCCTTGTCTCCCCATCCCGAAACCAGGACACCGGGGCCCTGGGGGTGAGATGACGTATGATAGAGGGAAGATTTAAAGTGTAAGCCATGCCACAGCTCTCCATCGGCTTCTCACTGTGCTTCCAATAAAAACCAGAGTCCTTTTGCTGGCTTACAAAGCCCCTGGTGATCTAGCCCTTGCCTTCCTTTCCTTCTTCAGATCCTCTCTCTCTCCCCTTCACCCACCACAATCCAGTCACACTTGTGTTCTTTCTGTTCAAGAGTATTGAGCTCATTCACACCTCAGGGCATTTGCACTAGCTGTTCCCTCTGCCTCTTTCCTGACCTTCAGAAATTAGCTTCAATATTACCTCCTCAGAGTAGCCTTCCCTGATTACCAATAAAAAGTAACCAATCAGTTATCAGTTATCTCTTCCACATCACTTTCTTTTGATTTTCTGCCCTGCAGGTACTAGTACCTGGCAAGTACCATACTTATTTGCTTATTGTCCATCTGCCCTACTAGAATGTAACCTCTGCAAGGGCAGGCTTCTTGCCAGGCTTGTGCTCTGCTGGATCCCAGAGCCTAAAATAGACCAGGGACTTGGCAGGTGCTCAATACATGTTGGTTGAAATCTTCTGTTGAATAAGGATGGTTTGAGGATTAGGATAGCTAGAGAGGTGAGAATTATAGACACAGGGGGCAAGGATGGGAGGGACATGAGGACTGGACAGAGTAAGAAAGGGTCATGAGTATCAGCCCAATAGGCAGATGGGGCACTTACCCAGAAGTCACTCCAGGGCAACACAGTGTCATGGACCTGCCAGGCTGCCCATACTGGACCCCTGTGGAGGGCACATCTGAGGAGAGGCTCTTTCTTCCTTTCCCTCTCTCCCATCCCAGCCCCCACTCAGTGAGCACAATGGGGTAAGGGGGCAGACTTTTAAGCCCTGTGTGTGTGTGTGGGGGGGGGGGGGGTCATTGGGTCAAAGCATCATGTTATAATCTGGAGACAGATGTCAGAAGACAGGGTAGAGAGGGAATGTTGCCAGGTTTCATGTCAGGGGTTGGGGAGTCATAGACTAAGCATGGAAAGGGCCCACAGTGAGGGTGGCAAGTCACAAGTCGGAGTTAGAGTCATATAGCAGGATTCTTCTCACCTGGGGGGCCCCAGGCCTGGGGGCAGGGGGAGGAGGTGGACACCAGGGCTGTAGCCACGGCCACCAGGACCCTGCTCAGCCCTGAGCAGCTGCTGCTCATCTATGGGGAGAGAGGTAGGGTCAGCAATCCCCCATTCCCAGATTGGAGGCTAAAGCCTGCCTCTTCCTCTTCTAAACTGTGATGTTCTAGGAAGAAAACTAAGGTACCAAATTGGGTAAGGATATCAGAAAACATTAGGGGATCTGATCTAAGTCTCCTTTCCACCATATACCCAGTGCTGCGTGTGCATGCATGCACACACACACACACACACACACACACACACACACACACACACCCTCACACCCTCCATCTCAGTGCTGGGCCTAGGGCCCAGAACAAAAGCCGGAGGCGACAGACTGTGCCAGCAGTCCCCCCACACACACACCACTCTTGGCACCCACCCCTGGCACCAAGTGCTGGCACCAGCGCAGTCACTCCCATTAACTCCTCCAACCCAGCTGTTGGGAATTCCAGTGTCTACCCCCACCTGGCCCAGGACTAGTCTTTGCCTCTGACTGACCTGAGACAGCCTTCATCACCCTTGGGTGGAGGGCTGTCATGGTAGGTCTGAGTCCACTCTGTACTCCTACCATGAGGCCTAGCCCTGCTCTGGCTGCCAGGCCTCTTCTCTCCTGGGCCTGGCTCCTTGGACCACTCATCTGGGCCTGACTCTGGAATCTTGTTGGTCTTGAGCCTGTGAGGCTGGATGGGGCGAGGGTGCAGGCCGAGACTGCAGAGTTAAGCAGATCCAGATGCCTTGGCTGCTGCCAGAGGCTGAGGGCGGGCGAAGAGCCAGGAGATGGAGACAGGGTGTCGGGGAGGGGAGAGGAGGCTGAGAGGAGCTAGGAGCCTGCAGGGAAAGGGGCCTGGAGTGGAGGCTACAGAACCAGGAGATGCTCAGAAATCAGGACTGGGAGGTGGTAGGGGCTCAGTGAGGCAAGGGATGGGCTTGGGCAGCAGGGAAGTAGAAGGGCAGAGGGAGTAAGCAACCATGTGTATATGGAGGTGGGGGTGCTAGGAGAGAGGGATTCTGGATGGGAGAAGGGCAGGATGAGAAAAGCAGTGGGGAAGTGGCCATGCGGACAGGAGAAGAAGCAGAAACAGAGAGGGCCCAGGCAGGCAAGGGCTCCAGGAGAGGAAGAGCACAGATCCCTCTCAAGTAGAGCAGAGTAAGGGCCTCCATGTGTCTGTCTGAATGTGTCTAGTGGCTCACCCCTACCCACTCCCCCACCCCCCACCCAGAGAACATTTACCCTACACAGCCCCGCCCTACCTCGGTGATCCCAGTGGTTGAGTGTCCATGGCCTCCAGGACTTCCTCCCACCAGCTACAGCACCCGTCTCAGCTCCACTCAGTTCTGGGACCCCAGAATCATCCCCTCCTTCCCTTTCCCTCCCCCCCGCCCCTCTGGGCCCTAGAGCTCAGCCGCCCTGAGCTAGGCCCCCACCTCCCTCTCTCCTCCTCCCTCCTCTCCTTTCACCCCCCTCCCACCCGAGGCCCTGGGAAGGGAAGAGGCCTCCCCCCAGTCTGGAAATGAAGCCACAGGCACAGCCAGGGCCAGCAAGAGGGAAAGGAGGGCTGCTTATATCCCTGTCAGGGAGAGATTCCCTGTTTTCACCCAGCCACATTCATGTGTGGACTTAATAGACACAATCAATAAAAAGACACTCCCTTGAACACATGTGGACATAACCAAATGAAAAATCAGAGATTCATGCCCCACTCTTTTCACTCCCCAGTAAATATTTCCTTAGGGCATAGTTAGCTGTTTTTTGAGGGGAAAGGAGGCCCCAGGTTGGGGGATATAAAGAAAATCCAGAGTCCAGTTCCTCCGCCCCGGGACGTTCCAGCCATTTCTCACCTCCCCCTCCACTCTTTGGGCCCCGGCACCAGGAAATGCCTTTGGTCCCTTGGTGCCAGATACATAAGACCCACACTTACCCTCAGACACACACTCTCAGATACAGCCACTCACAGTCACATGGATACACTCATTGTCACTCAGACTCATACCCTCACATAGATACACAGATACTTAGCACTCTGCCCCTTCAATGGGGTCACAGCACTCCCTAAAAGCAAATCTTCATCATGGTTTGAGTCCCCTCTTCTAGGGAGCTCTTAGTATGGCAAATCCCACATCTCATCACTGCCCCAGGCCCCCACGTAGCCAAAAAGACAAAGGTGAACAGGGAAGTCAGGCATAGGGGCACAGAGATGCACAGGACACGAGAAGCAGAACTAAAAAGCAGATATACAGAGATACCAGGGGAGACAAAACTGTGAGGAGACACAGAAAATGACAGCTCTAGGAAAGCAGTAATAGGGAGAGAAAAAGACATATAAGGAAACTGAGGGAAACAGAAAATAAGGAGCAGTAGACCAATGACAGGGACTCTAGAGCACAGAAAGGAAGGGAAGCCAAGTGTGTTGGGGTGAGTCTGTCTTTTCTGGACATTAAAATAGAAAGGTCAGTCCCACTGACTATTGAAGTTGGTCCCCAAGTACAACACAGCTCCACTTCTAGTCTAACACAAGACACAGGACACAGGACACACACATAGTACAACTCTCACTCTTGCTCTGCTACTGCTGAAGTCACACAATGGTACACACAAACCCAGCCCCCGACTCTCACACTGGCAGACAGTCTTAAATCCCACAGAGACCTTCCCAAAATACATTCCCCATGTGGTCACAGGCCCTCTCACACAAACACACAACCCAAAAACTGCACATTGACAGAACACATAATCCCACACTTGCACAGCCACATGCAGACTCAACCACACGCACACTGACACACGCAATCATATTAACTGCCAGTTGCACCAAGTGACACTCAGTTACAGGTCCACACACTGACATCGAGACACACACACACACACACACACACACACACACACACACACACACACACACTGACAGTCGGTCAATCACTCCAGGCCCTTCAGATCGTACACTACCCTGCCCCGCCTTCTCCTGGCAAGGCTTCCTCCAATACTCCCGCCGGCCCCACCAGGCCTCACCTTCTGCGGCCTCCGCCGCCAGCGCCCTCCGCCCTCGCCCTCTGCCCCGGCCTCTACTCCCTCTCGCCCCGGGGCCCCCGCAGTGGGGGCGGCTCCACCCAGGCACCAATGGAAGGACAAGGGTGAAAAGGGGGAGGGTCTGGGCCCATTGGAGCCTCCAACTGCCAATCACCGCCACCCCACCTCTGCCGGACACTTCCTGTCCCGTCCGGGACTGAGAGAGACGGAGTCTGGAGTTAGATTCCTAGGTCCTTGCCTAGAGTCCTGTCCTGGGACCGCAGGACTGGAAGTTTTCAGGCCCCTCTTCCTTCCATCAGTCCAAAAACAAAACCTCAAGTTCAGTGGCTCAGGAGCCATTGGGCAGGTGACTGGAGGAGCTGTGGTACCCCTGACTCCAGATAAGGACTTGTGTGGTGCGATGGTTCTGAAACTTTGCCGAACACTGTGGTTTTAAAATTGCCAAGCCACACTCCAAACCAATTAAATCCGAATCGCTGGAAACTGGCCTTGGCATCAGTGTTTAAATTTCCCAAATGATTCCAAAAGGCAGCCAAATCGAGTGTGGGGTCCGGTGTCTGTGTAGGTGTATGCCTTAAGAAACCAGCCAATCACCCAGGGTTCACATCCACTCCCCAGTCACTGGGACCTCAAGGAAGATGTGTACCATGTCTTTCTGAGCTCCTTCCAGAGACTCCAAGTCCCAGACCCTACCTGTTCAGGGTCTCAAGAAAAAACCCTGGACTGGAAGGCAGGCAGCCAAGGTTCTCCTGGGCCAAGTCATCACTGTCTAGTCTTGGCATGATAGCCCCTGCCAAACTCAGGTCCCTTGAGAGAAGATGAAGATAAAAAGCCTCTGGCCATCCTTGCATTGCTCACAAGCCCTATCCTCACCTAAAAGTTTGGAGGATACTAGGTGGCATCAGGTCTCCTGGGTTGCATGCCCCGTTACTGTTACAGTATACATTCTTGCCAAGGAAACCATCCAGAGGAGAGGGAGTAGAACCCAGGGTCCCTCCAAAAACCACCCCCTCCTTCTAGGTGCTGCGGCTCCTAACTCTGATAGCCCCTTCCCTGCCAGAGCTGTTTTTTTCCTTTCTTCCCCTGCAATGACTGGGGCATATGGGGAACACAAGTGTGCAGAGTCTGCACATATATACTGCACGTGAGAGTCTAGAGAAGGACACAAAGCCATGTACACTCCCTACCCGCCCCTTCAGCCCCTGTGGGCTGGAGCAGAGCCAAGCTGCAGTCTCTCACAAAGCTAAGGTTCTGGCCAGCAGCCCAGTGTCTGGCCACTGACCACCGGTACCAGGATCTTGCTCACCAGCTCCCCACCAAACCCTCAGGCCCAGGCTTGATGAGCTGACACCCTAGGGGTGGCAGTAAAGGGTGCTTTGGCTTTTCCAAACCCTTAGCCACAGACAAGAACACAAGATTTTAAAAGTTTCTTAAACTGTGATGCCTTTGTTTACTCCAGGAGTAAAAGAATCTATAGGCCAGACATAACATTAAGTATTAATTTTGTTCAGAGATTTGGGGTGGAATATTTGTACTCTAAGTTTTTGCACATCTGTAGACAAAGGAAAGTTGTGGCTGGCACTGTGCCTTTAACCCAGATCCCCAAGGGTTATAGTTCATAATCCTCTGGCATTAGACTATGTGATTAAAGTTTGAGAAACACAGTTTAGTTTTATTGATCCCACATCTTCCCAAACCCTAGGCCCTGGATCCCTCAAGCAGAAGGCCCTGTGGTCAGCGTGGTCAGGCGATGGTTGCTGTCTCCCTGTCCTTCTGCCCCAAGCAGTAATGAACCTCAGGAAGCATCCTTAGTCTCTCTGCAGCCTGAAAGGGAACAGGGGGAAATGAGGGAGGATAAGGGCTGCCCAGAATGGTGGTATGAAGTGGTATGAGTAGAACAGTGGTAATGAGTGCCTAGAAGACAGCGGAGGGAAGGCTTGTAGGATCAGAAGGCTGAGGATAAGGACTGCCAGAATAACCAGAGGCTAGAGCTGAGCAGCTCCTGAGTCC